CCCCGCGAGTGTGACGTTTTGCTGTTGGTTTTGGTCAGGCGCGCTCACCTGAAGGAATGTTTCGAGACGCTGAAGAAGAACGTCCCCAACGTGGACGACAAGAAGACGTCCAACCTCAGCGTCCTGCGCAGCGCCTTGCGCTACATCCAGGTATCGCGCGCGCGTCTTTGCGCCGGCCCGCCGCCGCCTCCCTCGTGCTCTCCGGGCCCGTCGCCGTGGCAACAGCTGCCGCGCGCTCTCCGGTCACGTGACTCGCTCCGAGCAGTCGGGAGACTCCTTTCGGGGGAAGGGTGGCGCGGCGGTGATGTGGGATGACATCATTGCCGATGAGCTCACTTCCCGTCGCAGGGGATCCCCAAATTGTTTTCTCGTGAAAAGTCGGACAGTGTTGAGAAAGTCGAAATGACACCAAAAATGGAGGTCGAGTTTCAGATCGGCCGAAAGCGGCGCGTGTAACCTTTGTTTTGGTTGTTTTTTTTGTGCGGGCGGGCGGGCGGGCGGGGCAGACGCTGAAGCGCAAGGAGAAGGAGTACGAGCACGAGATGGAGCGGCTGGCCCGGGAGAAGATCGCCACCCAGCAGCGTTTGGCCGAGCTGAAGAAGGAGCTGAGTCAGCGGATGGACGCGCTGGAGATCGAACGCCTCATCCGGCAAAGCGTCCAGCCCGAAGACGACCAGGCGTCCACCTCCACCGCTTCGGGTGGGTGGCGTGACGCTGGCTGACGCTCGCTTGCCAGCTGACGCTCGCTTGCCAGCTGACTCGCCGGCTGACTCGCCGCTTTCTTTCTTTCGCCGACAGAAGGCGAAGACAACGTGGAGCAGGACGGCGACAAGGACGTCTCCCCCTCGGGCCCCGCCGCCGCCCAGCGTCATCACCCGCGCCGCCCTTCCCCACCCCTCGGCCGCGTCGCACCCTTCCGTCATCCAGGCGGTCAGCCACGCCAATCACAAGCACCTCCCGCACATCGCCCCCTCGCCCGGCCCCGCCCCCATCGGCCACATCACGGTGCACCCGGTGGCGCGGCTGGGGGCGCTGCCCGCCCTGTACCCGCAGGGGGTGTCGGTGTCGCAGCCCGCCGACTTCTCCTTCCCGAGAAGACGGAAGCCTCGCCGACGGCTCGTCCTTTAGCCCCGCCCGCTCCACGCTTCGACCGACCGCCTGTTGTGGGCGGGGGCTCGCAGGTCACGCGCGAGCCACGCAAGTAGAGGGAGCGCGCGCGCTCGGCTGCGGGCGGGGCGGGCGCCCATGTGGCCCGGTTGCACGCTTGTTGTTCTCGTCGCGGATTGGGCGGCCGTCACGCGCCGCGGACGCGAGGTCTTCGTCAAAAGGCGGAAATCCCTCCGCGCGGACGGGAGCGCGTCGCGCCGACTCCGTCGCGCGCGCAGTGACGCGCCTTGGGCCGGCTCACGTTTCGACGGCTTCGGTGCGCGCGAAGGACGCCCGAGGGACTCGGCGGAGGAGCTTCCGGCGGTTGACGGCGGACTCGGGTGGCGCGCGAGAGCACGTGCGGTGCGCCGCGTTTTGGAGGAAGCCGTAGTAAAGGGCGGGGCCGGATGGCGAGTGGGCGTGGCGTGGGACGCCTCAAAGATTGTTTTGAGTTCGGAGTGCCTCATCGCCATCTTGTCGCCCGAACGCTTTGGACGAGCCCGGCCCGCTCCGGCCCGCCGAGGAGCGAGCCAGCTAGATTTGCGAGCGAGCAGCCCGCGGGGTCCA